TGATGAACCTATACCATTTATTGATGATAATCTATCAATAACACATAGTCGAAAAAGTAGTGCATGCTGGAGTGATCGAACAAGTTTAAGTAGTCGATTTGGATTGGCATGGAAATTAAATTTAATACGAACAAATTCACAGCTGCAACCAACAACGTTATCAAACGAAACAGGAGGAGGAGGAATAAAACGATTTAGTTATCGAACAATGCGATGTACAATGTCGCCAACACAACAACTTCAGTTTCATGATGAATTGTAAAAAGTTTTTTGTTTTGTTTTTTTTTTTTATTATAAAAAAATTGCAAATCATTTATCAGGGAATAAAATCTTTTTATTCTTATTAAAAACATACCTGTAAGATATTTCTTATTAAAACAATGACATATCTACTAAAATATTCTACTTAATAAAAAACAATTGTCACTTATTGTATAAAAGCAAAATGAAATTTTTTTTCAAATGTTAGTAAAGAAAAACAATAAGAAAATTAAGATTATTTTTCTTGAAAGTTTAATTTTAGATACAAAATATGCTTTGAAGGCAAGAAGAAAAAAAACAAACTGTTAAAAATCACATTTTTGCCTTAGCAATCATCTACTGTTGTTGATTTAAATGTAAAACGTCAGACTTTTTGTCATAACAAGCAATAGTACATAAATAAAATTACTTAAAAAATCAGGAATTAATTCGAGTTATATATGTTGTCTGATGACAATGTAGATTTTGAAATTTCACCTTGAAATACTCCAATAAAGTATTATCAAAAAAAGATTATAGAAATTTCTATTTATTCCGAAATATATGAAATTAATAATTAAAGGTATTAATATTTTTTTGAACTATCCCATGAGACGATACGACAAAAATAAATGCATTCCTATATATAAGTAATCTTAGAATCAAACCTTTTAATATATATTATAATAAATATTTTGTCTAATATTATGTCTTTCGATAATCTATAAATGAAATTTAATAAACATGTTCTTGTGTTTAGAGTGGCAATACAGACAGATATACACACATACAAAGAATCTAATAAAGATAATACACGCATTTATTTATAGGAAAAAAAATGAGGAGCTTAGTGTAATTACACCATATAAGAACGTTAAGAGCATTGATCATGAAAAGGAACAAGACAACAAAAAGGTATATGAAAGTTTATTTAATATGTATCTTCATCGCCCCCGACAAGAGCTGAACCATTACCATTACCATTACTACCAACAGTTAAACCATTTGCATCGTCTAAATCACCATTACCGTTCTCTTGATCAGGTTGCGCGAAACCCTCCTAAAAAAAATAACAATAATAATAAATTAATCAAAGTCTAGCAGAAATATATATACACAAACAAACATAAGCAAGGACGTTAACACACAGAAAAACAAAGCTCACAAATAACAAAATATATTCTTTATTCCTTAAATATCTTGTTCGATGTCTGGATGTTGTTCAGTTTCATCTGGTATCTCAAAGCCTTCCTTCAAAAATACATATATGTATTATTGATTGTAATATTTTATTTCTTATAGTATAGAAAAATTTAATATATATATATATTTATTTCTACATACTTCTGTAGCATAAAGTATTTCAAGAATTTTTTGTGTATGTGGTAATGATTCACATTCTGGTTCTTGACAAATAACTTCTACATCACGTAATTTTTGATAATAAAAATCTCGTTCTTTTTCAAGACCGGTTATCTGTGCTGCATGTTGTTGAATTATTTCTTGTAAATTATCAATCTAATTTAAAGAATTAATTTTCAAAAAACAAAAAACATTTTCATCATACTTCTTGTTGTAATCGAATAGATTCGGTATTATGAGATCCATGATGAGTATCAACATGATGTCCACTGCTATTACCAACTGGACGATGAACTGATGGAGAGATTTTTTGTTGATGTTGTTGCATTGGTTTTGCTAAAATAAATTTTATATTACAATTTAATCAAGTAAAAATTTTATCATCAAGATGAAATATATAAACATCTATTTAATCAACTTCAAGAATCTTTATGATTAATAGGTATCAATTAGATGTATGACAACGAACAAATGAATTGTCAAAATTGAGATTTTAACATTTGTAAAAACTACTTACCGGTAACTGGTGGTCTTGTTGGTGGTGGGGCAGCTCGTGTTACTGGCGCTGGTACTGGTCGAGAAGCAGGTGGTGCACGAATACCTGAACTACCTCCTCCTGGTGCTGCTTTACCACCACCGCTACCTAGAGATCTAAGAATAAATCAAAATTTATTACTATTATACAATAAAACATATATTATTTCAACTTACTGTCCATCTCGTGCGGCTAGAGGATCATAATCATGAGCAGCTGTGTAATTTGCATCAAAGAATTTTTTAAACCATTGAACAAATTCAAAATTATCCTGAAATTTTCCTTTGACTAATTTTTCAACAGGTACAATCTATTATATAAAAAGCAAGAATATTGTTATTAAAATTAATAAGAAGAAAAAAATCAATTGAACACATAAATAATCTCTCTATTGATTTCTTTTTAGCACACCTTATCAACTTGTACAGCACGAAAAGCATTTTGTAAGATTTTAAAATTTTGAATATTTTCATGTTCTAATTTGGCATTAAATTTCACTCTTTTTATCGGTATTGATCCTAGAAACAAAACTTAGATTTTCTAATATTTTCTTTTTCTTTTTGTTGTTTTACAAAACTATGTCCATCACCAAAAGAGAGATTAGTTATGTGTTTTAATTAAATAATACCTTATCTACTTGAAGTGCTTTAAAATATTCTTGAAGTACTTTAAAATTATTAATATATTCATGCTCGAGTTTTGTAGTCCATTTAACCCGTTTGGAACGTGTACCTATAGCGCCTAAAAATTTTAAATGTTAATTAGTTGTTAGTAGATAAACTACAACTATATATATAATAGTAAACTTGCCTGGAAACATCATCTCCATAAATTGGCAGTAAGCAGCACCTATATATATAATAATAATAAAAGTATTATTCACTTTTTTGTTTATTTCCTCAAAAAAAAGAAAGAAAATCATTTACCGGAACATAGATCTTCAACTTTAGTAAAATTAGCTTCGAGCGCTGTATTTATCCATTGTAAAATATCATTACGACTTAGGTTGTCTGTAGTTACACTCGTATGATATACATTAACAGCGGCCATCTAAAAAGATTAGAGTTTGAGAATATATATATCAAAAGGATTAAATTTAAAGAAGACTCTTCATAAATCAAGTAAATGTTCATATGAAAAAGTGTAACGATCGATTTTTTTTCTCTTCGTCTATCGAAATAATCATAGCATGAATGTCTAGTGATCAATGATAAGTAAATTATAGAGTTCAATATGATATATGTCAATATATGAAAGATAAATATATATATGTATATACATATCTTTATATGATCAAGATTAAACCAGTAAAACCATTGATATCATGTAATAATAACTATAGAGACTAACAAAACAATGATGTGATTCAAACAATAAACAAAACAAAACGGCCGGACAAATAAAAGACAGACAGACATTCATTATATTATATCGTATGCATGTTTATTTAGAATAGCGATTTGATTCTTCTATCTCATTGGAGAGAATGAGTTTTTATTCACGAAAGAGGGAGCTCTTTGCTAGACAAATGAAAGATGTTGGTTGAACAACTGAACTAAAATCTCAATGGAGA